AGGTCACAGCTGGTACAGACCCACTGAGTTGAAGGCCTGGGGTTCTCACAGGAGAGAAGCCAGGAACCACTGAGTTCAGAGGTCCTTTGAGAAGGGCTACTCAAAGGTTTTCACTCTCATCTTCTTCTGCATCCTCTGGAACCTGCTGACATGCAGAAGCCTCCCCACCACAGGGGACTATGGAGGCAAAATCTATACCCTAGTGAGGACTGGAGCTCTCCTCCATGGGGCAAATATGAGAACCCTGCTCTGCAGACATCCTCACTGTTTCCCTCTGCCACAATGATGGGGGGCTGTGCATCACAGGAGGTTTGCCTATTTTGCCTTGGATCGCCCAGGTAAGTGAGTGAGAAAGGGAGGATTTGAACCTAAGTCTCCTGCAGCTCAAGCCCCTGGCTCTGGAGAGAGGGGCACCCATAGCACCATGAAAGCCAGACTAAGGACACCCTTAGCATCAGACAACAGCCCTCCCAGAGAAGGTGCTGGAAGGAAGTAGTCACAAAATGTGGCCCCAGCAGCATCCAGCCAGCTTAGTGCAGCTGAGTACATCCTGCAGAGGCTGGATGTGAAGTCCGGCACTTTGTCATGATGAGATGGACTCCAGTCGCCATGCCATGGCAGGGAGATCAGCCAAGAAAAGGAGAAAGAGAGCCAAGCAGCCCATATTCCATAATGAACTGGGATGGGCTGGACAGAGTCAGAATCCCAAAGTTTGACATTTTGCTGAGTTTTAAAGATTCAGAAAAATTTACTGACTGGCATATAGCTTAAAAGTTATACTTCAGCTATTCATCGGAGCTTGTGCCTGAAGTCCTTGGGTGAGGCTGTTGGTCTGAAGTGGTCCCACAGTGATGGGCTTGAGACCCTTGGTCCTGATGGCAGAAGCCTGCTCCTTGCCTGCAAAATGTTGGCTTACTTTGACTCAGAGTCTGAGTTATTACACTTGAGCTTAAGGGTCTAAATCCCCGGCGTAGATGAGCTCCTGGAACAAGGATGCCATTATGGTGGACTGCATGACAAAGTAAACTTTAATAGTCCACTGTGAGAAAACAAGAAAAATGACCCAAACACCACTAGCTGGAGAACCATCCAGAAAAAAAAAAAAAATCCCTGAGCAAATGCGTGGGAAGAGGCCAGGTACAGCGGGCCCCGCTTTGTCAGCAGCTCACGACCCAGGTCCCTCTACACTCAGGGACAGCCAGACTGTATATATCTGGGGCTTTGCAGGTTGTGCAGTCTCAGCTCTGCCATCGTAGTATGAAAGCAGCCACAGACGGGATGTAAATGAATGCATGTGACTGCATTCCAATAAAACTTTATTTACAAAAATAAATAAACAAAAGGTGATTGGAAAAAGTCATTTTTCTGATTCCTTCTACATGGAAATCTACCAGGTGCCTATCTGAGGCTGTGCTGGGCACAGGGAATGAGACGAGAGCAAGTGAGGAAGACTCACTAAGCCAAAGGCGTCACCAAAACTTGATCTCAAGCAAAACCCTTATAAGCTCCATAAAAAACCAGGAGTCCAGAGTATGGGGGGAAAAGACCAAACTGGCTCTATATTTAAAAAGAGACCAGAGGTACTGGGCACAGTGGAGGGAAAACAACCAAACATCACCACGTCTCTCCTCCTGGCGGCTCTCTGGCCACTCCCCCTGAACTTCCTGTCATAAGGCTGCACACTGCTATCCCATAAGCACTCCTCTCCTGGGTGGTGACACAGGAAAGCTCAGACTGACTGTGAGCCAAGGTCTGTGTTCCTCCTGCTTCTTTCTACCCTCTATGTCCACTGCAGCCCTGATGGCACGGTCAGGAAAGGGCCACACTGCTGGGCGTGGAGACAGAGACAGTCAGATCTCTGTGAGTTTGAGGCCAGCCTGGTCTACACAGAAAGTTCCAAGGCAGCCAGAGCTACATAGTGAGACCTTCTCCCAAAACAAAAGCAAACAAAGGAGGAGAGAAAAAGGCCCTGCTGCTCGCTGCAGACTTCAGCACCAGGGACAGAGCCTCTGCAGGCCCCATTCAGAGGGACCAGCAGCCAGTGTCAAAGCAGGGAAGTGTGTTGTCCCCCGAGCCCAGCTGGTGCAAACAGAGCCAGTGTGCCTCACTCTCTGTGACCCTGTGTGGGAGGACTGTTGGTGAAGAGGAAGTAAAAACAAACACTGTACAGATCCCTTCACCCACGTTATTAGCTTGGGAGAGACTCGCAAACGTGCCGATAGCAGCAACAGCAACATCTGCTTCTAATTGCTTCTCCCCAGAACTTGTCAGCTGGCGTCTGCCCCAGGAGAAAAGCTGGTATTTGCAACAAACTCTTAAATCAGATGGCATCCATAGTGAGTAATTTCCTACGTGTTTGGTCTTTGAGGCTAAAAACACAGAATGCACCTTTACAGGAGAGCTGGGCCATACAGTGGTCCCACACCAAGGGTCTGCTTATAAGGTTTCTTTTTCGGTTTTTCAACACATGGTTTCTCTGTGTAACAGTCCTGGCTGTCCTGGAACTCACACTGTAGACCAGACTGGCCTTGAACTCAGATATCTATCCATCTGCCTCTGCATCCTGAGTGCTGGGATTAAAGGTGTGAGCCATCACCGCCCAGCTACACGTTTTTTATTTACACACCATGCTCAAATATTGCCTTCTATTTATTATGTATTTGTGTCCTAG